TTGCAAAAGGTAGAGACGCCCTGTTGCCTGCTTACTGTACACTTTGTGAGGTAATCCACGCACGGGCCAATCTCACCCCATAGGGGGGGGGGAATTCAAGATGCAATTGCGTAAATGTAGGAGGGAACCTCATTTTTGTACTCCCAAAAAGTTCCTTTTGGCACCCCCAACCCAGAGGCCGGAATGGCCCGGACTCCTCGGACTGGTTGCGACTCTCTGAGTGCAAGCCTTGGCGTGCGCGAGTCCCTGCAGCGGCCTCATGAGGTCAGCAAGTGTGCTGGGGTTGTGGTCTCGCAGTGCGGCCACCGTGTCCGCCCAGGACCCAGGATGCCCAACATGCCCAGTGCCTTTGCCTGTGTTGACTGGCCGCGGAATAGCCCAACCCCCATTCGGAGCAGCAAATGTGCTCTTCGCGCAACTGAAGGGCTCATCCCCGCCCGAGCTGGAGATTTTCAAACGTTGGAGAAAGACCGTTATCTGACCACCACCGCCACCGCCACCGCCACCGCCACCGCCACCACTACCACAACAACAACAGCAACAACAACAACAACAACAACGACGGCAACGGCAACGGCAACGGCAACGTTGGTTTTCCGGAAGACAGCATGATTCATGAATCTTGCGCGACGCCGAAACAAACGAGCACATCCAACATCTGAACGTTACCGAAGAAGATGCTTGCAAACATAGGTTTGAGGCGCTAAATCTTATCTTTAGGTATTTTTATGTAATCCGATGCTTAAGGGCACTGCTGACACTTCGGCAGGCGACACAATGGATTTGTGTTGTATTGGGGGATCAACTGTCCTGAAAAGCTGGATGGCGCTTCAAACTTGCAGTTTGAGCGGCAGCAAAAATCATTGCAAAGCCTGTCCTTGAGAACCACAGTTTAGGGGCCGATGTCAGGGGCGGGCAGTGCCAGAACGGAATTGTGCCCTGCACGCCGTGGATGGGTCTTCGGCCTGCCTGGCGCGCGCAGCCCGGTCCGACCCCGCAGCGATTTCATAGGCACGGCGTGTAAACTACAACGTGCAGCTGCGAAATTTCATGGCCGCATGAGAGTCTGCCTGAAGGCGCAAACAAACAGGAATGGTTTTGCGGGGGCTTAAGGGAGGCATTGAATAAGGTGCTTAGATCTGGCTTGACGAGAAGCTTAGAACGGGGGGTGTATGGGGGCGCTAGGAACGGGTTTTATTTGATATCGGGGCGGAAAAAACAAGGAGTGTAGAGAGTGGCGTAGGGATTGAATCATGAAGCGCTTCCCCTAATAACAAACGATGCCCCCCTCCCTGCCCCCGAGCCGGTACTGTGTATTCATCTGTAAAGGCCAAAGAAATCGATTTGTACGGGATTGTTAGGTGCGCACATGTGTATATATGTATATGTGTATTTCGCAAGGGGCTATTCGTTTGGCTAGGCAAGTCACTGGTGACTGATTAAGTAAATGACCAAATAGTTTTTGCAGGCTCTACTATAACTAATTGATTCGGAGTTCGCAAGAAAATGAGCTTTTCTTGTTCACCAAACACCAAACACAGATCATCTGATGGCTGCAATAGGCGACTAATGATAATGCGCTGTTCGAAATAAAGATCATGTTTTTGCTGAAAAACTAACCCAATGGCAGCAAGGGCTTCTGATCACCAGCTAGTTGGCCAGTACTAGCAAGATCAGCTTTTCCTTTTTGTTTTGCGATAAGCAAAGATGAACTGCTAATCAGCTAGTTCATTCTGGAACACCAAAAATCGTGCTCACGTTTCGTCGGTTAACAACAAATATTTCGTGTTCGTTGCTAATTCCTTAGCTGTTAGAAGCCCCTGGTTTTTTGCCGATTTAAAAACAAGCAAGTATGGAGGCCCCGGATACTTAACGAATCAGCAATGAGAAATGAAGTTGTTATTTGGTGTTAGTTAAGTATGCAAACAAATAGCAGCCAGGGTTCCTAGTAGGCCGTTTATGGCCCAGGTTAGGTTTTTGTGGGAAGTAAAGATATAAGCCAGTTGCATTCCAATGAGGCCTAATGGAAAGTAGCGTTTGCGAATTCAAAAACGTGCGAAGCCTTGTCGAACATCCAGGGTCTCCCAAAACATTATTTGATATTCAATAGGGGGAAAGGATTAATATTGCGGGTTTTAATGGGCAGCGATGTAGGCTTGTAATACGGTGTTGTTGAGGGCCGGACAGGTTTGAGTGGTGAATTCCTGGGCGGCGCTTGAAGCGGCTATGGGAGACTTTAACCGGACAGTTTGTACTGCATGTGTGCAAATCGCAAATGAAAAGATTAAATTCGGAAAGGGTTCTTGAATTCGGGGCAGTCACTGTAAAGTGCGAGGCGCACGGGGGAAGGCGCTTGAAGGTCAGGAAGGGCTTCATTCCATCCAAAACCGTCCTGGAAACGGATCTAGATCTGAATGGCTTCAGTTGTTGTTGAGGGCGTGCACGATCTCTACCAAAAACATAGCATATCACATTTGATCTATTTTGACAGCCCTTGTCTGTGCTGGCAATGCAGGCAAATTCTCTAAATGACACAGTTGTTGAAAACGTGATTAGGAACATCTGTTGGGTTTGCTCCTGGCGGCTAACTTTATAAGATTTACGAAGTTGTTCTTTCATTGACCAACAATTGACGCGCAGAGGGGCCAGAGAATCATGCATGTTTTAGTACGATTGCTGGATTGAGGCTTCGCCGTGCAGTAATTCACGAAGTTTGACCTATGGCTTCTACGGTACACCACAATTTAGATTACCTCTACTTCCTCCACCACACAAAAGGTCAAACTGCATGGGACAGAGCACGTGATACCTTCAACAGTCATTGGAAACCAGGAGATGTCATGTGGCAAACATGCGTGACCATGATATGATACTGCGCGATTCGTGTTTTGGAGGCTTGTTGCGAGAATGATGTTAAAGGTCGGTTTTTCCGCGAACAAAAACCTCATCGGATTTTTGGATAAAAACAGACAACGGCAGCGTTTTGGTCAATGTCGGTTTTTTCTCCAACGTTGGGTTCTCCAGGGACAGCAACGCAGCCAACACCACAGGGCTGCCGCATCATGAGCTGCCGCATAGTCTTCCGCCCCACTGACGGTGCGCAGCTGATAATTGCAGGTTCCCCAGCATGGGCAACCCTTGTTCGTCGGTCGGAAAGGCCCACCTCCCCGTCCAACAGGGCGGGTCTCCGTCTGCCAGCGGCATGGCTGTGACGAGCCCTGGTGGCTCCTCGCTGCATTCATCTGCATTCCAGCATATTCCAGGCCCACGTCTTGCCGAAGTGGACCCGGACGCTCGCGCGAGACGAGCAAAGGAGTTTTGGGCAGAGCGCAGGGCGGCAGTGGTGCGTCCCGGCAAGGTCGTGATGTAGATGTTGTCGAGCAAGGCATAGAGGCCTTCCCGGGCCGGTCTTGGTCGGATGGCCGTAAGACCACAGAGATGCCTCGAAGGGTCCTCTCTTGAAACCGTAGCGCTAGTGGGATCGTGTTTTTTTCAGCATTCCAGCCGCGTGCAGAAAAAAAATCTCTGTGTGGTGCACTGGCTCCCGGCTCCTGAGCCGCGCATGCACCCGACAGTCCGCACAAAGAGTTCGGAGCAGATTTATGAGCCCGAGCCTGGGTGACAAGACCTGTTTGTCTCGTTGCGTGGCTTTGTGTGGCAAGCCTGTTGGATTTTTTGCAGGAATTTTCTCAAAATCACCTAAAATGGGAACATGATCCCAACTAGAGCTCATGGTTTCTGTGAGACGTGTTTGCTCTTGAGCTGTGGATTCTTGAGCTTTTCCTGTGAAACCAAACACCCAGAAATAAACAGGCGAGGGCAATCTTGACATCAAAAGTGGATGTTTCCCTGAGGATTGGCCGTTTCAGTCAGACTGGGTCCTCAAGGATTTGCATGACTTTTAGAGGGGGAGAGCATGGAGTCTTCAGAAAACTATTGGAATGGATTGGGATACCGTGGAGCTTTCAGAAAACTTATTGGAAGGGAACCCATCTACAGTATGTAGGCCTTTATTACTGCATAACATACATAATGTGAGGCCCATCCTGGAAATTCCCCGTGGAATGTAGCCCTCTCTATCTTGATTCCCTCTGATTCCGTCTTATCCAAAATCGAACCTCAACCTTATCAAAGCAAACCCCAATCTGAATCATACGCAGCCCGAATAATACCTATCAAAGCCCCAAGTTCCCTTATCGCTTGCTCTCGATGCGGCTGCTGCTTCGGGATCTCCTTGGATCCTCGAGGACACCTGGGCCGCCCGAGTGGGTTTCAGGGCGTTAGCAATCATAGGAATTGTTGGAGGGAATTCTTTACCGGGTTTACTAAATAAGTTGAGGGATACCAAAAACCTGTTAATACAAGAGGAGAGGAACGTGAGACATCCTCTCAATCCAGGCATGACAGGTCCAGTAGCGAAAGCTCTTCCCTGTTCAGCAATGATTGTACCCAAGCATCATAGCGCTGAAGTGTTTTGAGGGCCACTGCTTTGGCACTGACACGTCGTGAGATACGAGCAGTGAACCCAACGAAATCCTCTGACATGAATGTAGCCTCAGCGCACGGATTGATGGCCGTGCCAGTAGCCTCCCACTGTTCCTTGATGGTGAGGAAGATGTGATTCAGATAATGAATCTTCGGTCGGAATTTGAATAGGCAGAGCTTCTTCCTATAGGAATTGTTTGCCAAATTCTGGTAGCCCATCAGAAAAGCATGTCCTGCACGTATTATGTAGACGCAATCGGATGATGCCATGAAATACTCGCTCTCCAACAATCGTTTCATTGCGCATCCGAGTTCTAGACCTGCAAGCAAGATGTGGGGCAGCAAGTCGTCATTGCGCACGAATTGCTCATGCGTTTCAAGCTGTAACAGCCACGCAACAAATTTCATGAGAGTTGCCGTGTCCATGTTCTTGGACCAGTGTCCTTCTGGATAATCTCGCGTGCCAGTGTAACCCAAGTGGTCTTCAGTGAGGTTCCTGCCTAGATGGAGGTAGTTCCCAGAAATTTGAAGAAAGGCTTGCAGATGCAAATTGAGTTCCGCAAGATCTTTCTTGATGGACCCAAGTCCAAACAAAGTCTTCATAGCATGCACGAGCGCACTGCCAACAAAGTCTTTGCCAACGCCAGCATGGAATATGTGGAATAGATCTGGTCTGAAAAAGGCCGGGGCATCATCCCCAGCCATCATCCATTGAAGGAGTGGCCCGCCGCTTCCTGACCATGGCAACGGAACGTTCTGGACACCCTGCGTTGCGATCCATGCAGGTTCTGAGAATCCAAGGTGCTCGAACGGAATGCTTTCAGCCGGATTTTCCTTCCCAGCTTGGCATAGCCAACAACACCCAACCTGGTTTCGATTTGATGAGTGCGTCTTGCGCACGTTGTTGAAACTTCGGGTGAACTTCCCAACCTTCTTCACGAAAGGGGAATCACCAGTGAAGGCGATGACAGCGACATGAAAAGTGGTACCATCAACAGAGAAACCGTCCAAGAAAAGCGATTGCAGCTTTCGGCCCCAAAGGTCCATGAGAGCATCAAAAGAGGCCGGGTCCGTTTTCGAAATTGAGCTGCCCAGCACACTGAACAGAAATCTTGTAGACCCAGAATTACCACGCATGTTAAGGCCCATTCGCACATGCCCCTCTTCAGTTCTCTTGTGCTCACCCAGCGCGATAGGATTTCGCTTTGTCCCAGAACCCAGACAGGGAAACATGGAAATTATCTCGATTGCGTCTTTTTTGAACCCTCTTCCGCCATCACCGTGCAAGTAGTACGGAATCAGTCTTGTGAGCGGTATGTACTGCTGGCAGATGACGTGGTTCGGAAATAGCCGCCGGAAATTATTCCAATACTGCCCCAAACCCTCCTCAATAAGGCCAACCGGTAACCCAACCACTTTGTGAAAACAGCCTTTGGTAGATAACCGTTCGAGGAATTCTCGGGGGTCCAAGTAAGGATAGAAAAGATTGTTGCTGACTCTCGCCGTGGAAATCTGCATGCCAAACAAAAGCCCAGCATCACGTAGCACTTTGTAGAGCGGGGCATCCGCATTGGACATTGGGATTTCAGCTATGCATCTCAAAACTCTGCAAGGATCTTTCCGAGAGGCGGCCTTCGCGTCTCGAACCAACTCCTTTGCTGGGACCTGAGCGCGAGCGAGACGCATCTTGTCCCATATGGAACTGCTAATTATACATACGCTTCTGCAGGCTTTCTAGCGAGAAAATCCATTAAGGGCTCACGCAGCTACTGATTCCGAATGTGGCTGGCTGAAAGTAGCAACATAACGAAATCAAACGTCATGCATGTAAAGATCTTTTTTGCTGAAATGCAGTCGACCAACGCATGTGCGTAATCACACAAGTTTGAATTAAGCTTCGAGGGCTCTAAGCTAGGATGGGCTCTTTCTGCGCAGCACATGCAGCCGCCACATAAGCAAAATAAGGTGGTGGAAATCGTGGCTTGAAAGAATTATCACGCATGGATTCTCCACCTAGCTGTTTGTTGCGGCAACAACGCTGGCCGTCATGGAACTCAGCTATCAACGCAGCTTCTAACATCTCGAGCATACCCAGCAGGTCAGCCGTGGTCACTTTGTGAATGACAGCAAAAACCTTGAAGTTCTGCTGCAAATATCCTTCCATGCGTTGAAGCGGATTAGACGTAAGCCCAATCTTGAAAACACAGAGCTGTGTACCACCGCAGTGCCTGCGCACATCATTGATCAACTTGACGCAGTGCCATAAAATCTTGGACGCTGTGCACGTTTCTGGCAGCAGACTCACGCGGAGGCCTGACATGTTCTCATCTTCTCCTTCGTGTTTGCCAGGGCCTTGATCCATATCATCGGAAGGCTGTGCGTCATGCTGGAAGCTTTGAGACGAGTCAGTAGCACCATCATCTTCTGAGTCACTCCATGGGAAAATATTTAAGTTTGGCCGCCCCATTATGGTACCTGTACAGCTGAAGCAGCCAGATGGCTATAGAACGAACGCGATCATTTCCTGTACCAACACATGATGCAGAATGCGGCGCGTCACATGTTTTGAAAGTGAGCATGTTCGGCGATCAGGTCATCACGACAGCTGGAGATTGCTTCACGGCTAGGGCCCCGACACCACGGGCATATTTCGTGACAATCAGTTGGGCTTGTTCACTGACGGGTGGTTCCGCGTGACTGCCTCTCCAGGGAGGTAGTGGGCTGCATCTTTGAATTTTGCATTTGGAGATAATTAAGGGCTCACAGGGGACAGTGGAGGTACATGAAATGCGACCGAATGTTGGGATGCCGAGGGCTCATCTTGAGTTGGAATCCGGTTCCTTTGAGCTTCAGACCCGGTTCAATAAATTTACGTTCTATATATTCTTAAGAAAGGGCCTATCTAAAGTAATAAACTGTAGCCTTACCTGGGTTGAGGGGTTTATCTTGCCTAAGCCGACACTGACTTTGAACATCACAATTTTTGGCGCGGTCAGTCTCGCTTCCGGGATCCCTTTGCAGGCAGCTTGAGAAGTGCATGGCTAGCAACTATTGCACGCAGCCCTTCTTTCTTGAAAGCTGCAGACACGCTTGTATTCAAACGTAGAGGTCAGGACTAGCTTTCCATCAGGAACCCCATGGTCCTTCCTAGTTATATAGGGCTACATAATCAGCTTTACAAGTAAACCCGGGTGCTCCTCCGCATGTTCATGTGAAACAACGAATGGCGCACGCTGCGGTGCATCTCATGCCATCCAGGCTAGAAAAAACCTGAAATGCCCAAGCTGGCTTTTGGTAGCTCCGCACAATGTACGAGTACATCGCAATGCTTATAAGGAGAAATTTGCCTGAGCATGTAGCAAAATACACCGCACGTGTGAAAACAAAATTATGATGAATCCATCACCCTATAAAATCGAATTTGATCAAATTTGATCAGGCTCAGGCCCACTCAGTGGCAAAGGGCCACTTTCAGTAGCCATTTCAATGTAGCTACGTACGTCTAAAAGCGTTCTAAGATTCTACATTTGGATCTTTCACTCCTTTTCAGCATGCTTCGCCTTCTTGCGAAGCTGTGTCAAGGCTTGCCTTTGTAGGCCATGAATTTCTTGGAAGTGACTGTTTGGGGGGTGACCTGGTATAAAGTAGAAGGCTGATAACGGACTGTGTAGGTAGGTCTTTTAAGGGAAATGAAGATCCTCGCCAAATGCATGAAAATAGATGAAGCATTGTACATTTAGGGCTACCATATACTCATTGGATTGCTGTCGAAGTAATAATTGAAAATCACCTTTAAGTCTATAATACTATATACAAGCTTGTCTAATGAGTACGCTTTCAACGTCAACAGGCATTCCTGTAATCATGCTGTACATCCTGGTATATACTGCTAGTCGTCAAAAACACGAGATACGGTAAGTCACACTTCCGAAGCACTGTAGTGGCAATGGTTGTTACAATAGCATGGAGTATAAGGGGGAAAATGAGATTGCATAGTATCTAACCGAGAATGAAGAAGATCGAAGTCGTGTTCTAGCAGTAACAGAGGAGGGGAACAAGTGTTTTTGAATGAGGCATGAGGTCAGACTATCCACTTACACTATGACTGCGACTATAGGACAGCAGAAGTAGCACCACAAGTATGTGCCGCACATGATCCTAGATGCCTTGTGTATAAAAGCCTTGCGAAAAGGTCTGTGTGCTCGAAAGTGGATGTAATGGTTGGTTCTGGTTTCTCTGCTCTCGGTAATATCTTGGGTTATATACAATTAACTGCTTAAGGGCCGGTGTGGAGTTGGGAGGATTGAAGGTGCTTGTTTGAAAAGAATTGACGCCATAGGTAAAACCCGTCAGCCCTAGAATCCCCGCGTAATAATCCTGTATAGCCCTATAGAAATAAGAGCGTTTACCCCTATGTATACTTAATAGATCTTACGACCCCGATCAAGACTACCAGTCAAGCCCTATAAGCCCTATATACACAACCCTATATAAACCCACACAGGAACCTCCTTCTATTCTGGCAATGATGCAGCAGCTTCTGAGAACAAAGGCGCCAGGGGGCCCCATATGGCTACATAGGGATCATAGGGAAATTATGGGTTTAGCCCTGAGGATTGCAAGAGGATTATCTTCAGAAACCATCACGTACCTTTGAGGGTTCCATACTATTCTTGCTAGGAAGACCGGCTACGTGCAAAGGGTTCATGGCTCGTAAATAAGCGTGCAGGGCTATAAGGAATTCATGCTGCCCACTAGAGATGTAGGAAACAGGCTATCCAAAGGAGTAGCGCGCTAAACCTTCGATCCACGTATTTATATACCCCATATATATGTAACCTTTTATTCCCTAAACCTATCAAGCCTGATATCAACCATATATACCCTATATAAACCCGAAACCAACACCCGAAGCCCGAAACGCTGTGCCAACATGGTGCTTCTGCGAGGCTTCAAAGCTGGTGGCCTTCGACATCCTGATAACACACATGCGCGAGAAACCCAGTTTGGGCAGGGGCGTGGTGACATGAAAAAATGCTAGCAAGTAGCAGCTTCTGAGCACGCTTGAAGAAACTCTGGCAATCGGAGATCAGCCTCAACTAGTACGGTGTCAAGAAACGCAATAGGAAATTAATCAGACTGCATACAAGCACGTTATCAGTTGATCAAGAAGCTTGTCGGAGTAGCCTGTGGTTTTTCCTTCGGCTTTGGCCTCTGAGAGCTCCTCGTACACGGTTTCAAAGTCTTTGAGCATAGCTTCCATCTTGCGGATGTTCCTTAGGTATGCACTTTAAAGGCATTAAGGGATGCATGCACTGGACACTGTACGGTCCTGAGCAAGTGCTAGCTTGATTCAGGCTAGAGACTCAGCATGCTTTGGATCTGACCCGGCAGCAGACCGCATTCGATCCAGAAACGAACTGAGGCTATTCTTCCCCTTCAGGATAGCACGCAGGTAGTCGGTTACCTGAACAGCAACCTTAGCTGCGCATGTAGTTGCATGGTTCGCGCAGGCTAACTGCAATCAAGAACATATGGACTTACAACAAATTTCTTCTGACTTCATGAACTTTCACGCGGGTGACACTCTTGACGTGGTCTCCCTCAACAGCCTTCTCATTCCGGTGAATGAAAGCATCATTAGCATCGAACTCCATGCTGCCGAGGTCGACCAAAGCATTGTGCTCCAGCTCGTCTCCTCCTTCGCCGAAGTATTCCTTCGTCCTGCACAGGCTTTCAAGTTCTTCTCGGGTGATCGTCCCCTCCGTGCGGGTATTGACCCAATACTCCAGGGTCTCATCGTCGTACTCGCAGGTACTGAGATGGGCAAGGATTCAGACTTTTCGGGTTTGGTGTGGATGTGGTGTTCTCGTGGCTTAGGGGTCGAAATACGGTTTATATGGGGTTTATACAGGAGTTGTATTTACAGCGGGAATCAACAAGATCTTCTCGAGCTATGAAGTCATGTTCGCCTTCGCATGTAGCATGAGGTTGGTGAACCCTACATGCAAGGGTAGTCGGGAATTCCAAAACAGGGCAGGGGCCTTTTATGTGATTCGTGAAGTAGTATGTATTTATAGAATCGCATTATTCGAAATGGGTCCCTCGAGTACAGCACAGGATGAACCGACAAATTATAACCACATATTATGCTGCTAGAATTAATAGTGCCCCAAGATTTCGCAAGCCTAAACGATTAGAATTGCAGCGCCCGAACAAAAACCCATGTTTGCAAAAGCTAGAAAGCCCATATAGTCAGCCTGCCAGATCCCCAGAACCTCAAATCAACCCCCGACACAATCTAGATTCTTGTAGTTGGAGTATGGACCATGCACGATCGAGTTATGAACCCATACGTAGCAAAAAAACATGCAATTCCCACAGAACCCGAACCCTTCATGTGTACCTGGCTGATATATATATATATATAATTGTTGACATCTGCCCCGAAGCACAGGAATGTATAAAGGGCTTTACATGCATGCCGTAATCTACTCGACGGAGGAAATTATTGAAGCCCTTTCATGAACTAGCTGCCGAACCAGGCCCTTCGACTCGGCCCACTTCACAATCTTGTTGATTCGCTGCCTGGGCCCATGAGGGGAGGGATCTGTATCTGGATGTCATTTTCAAATGCGTTTGCTAAGTGACTTCATTGTATAATGCTAGCCAGGTACTCACTGTAGCCCAGCTCCTTTTTCATATCCTCCTTGGAGTAGAAGCCGCCTTTGACTTCCAGTTTCTTGGCTCGGGTAGACCGGCTGTGGATGGTCACTGTCTCCAAGAAGACAGCCTATAACAGGCAATAAAAAGCTTCAGATCAGGCGCTGGGATGATAAGCCTTAATTTGGGCGATTTGTTTTTTTAGACTGCAATCTAGATCACGCAATAATGAAGCCCCAGGATGCCTTGACACCACCGGACTTGGCCCACATGCTGAAAATCTTCTGCCTGCCCTTTCCGGCGTCATCCCACATCTCAGAGATGTTCTCTGGGACCTCCAACTTCCCGCTGCCATTCTTGGGCTTGCAAATCCTCCCAATCTTCGCCTTCTCGTTCTTGGACAGGTTCCTCGGGTCGAGGATTTTCGGGTAGCGGTCTTCATCATGTGCATCTCCAGGGGAGTGGGCAGAGGCAGGTGAGGCAGAGCGGCTGCGCTTGCTTCCGCGGGCTGGGGTCGCTGAGGGGGCGCTCAGAGGTGAAGCGGGAGCGGAGGCCTGATGCAATCTTGACTCGAAGAACGATATGAACAAAGGGCTGGGCTACAGTCAACTCTTGCTTAGCATTTGCATTTGGGCACGATAGGGTTTCCAGCTTCAGGTGGACTTATGCAAGGTAGGAATGAGCCCACATGAGTCGCTTCATATAAATTCGGAATTCACAGCACAATGCACGCAGATCTCCGTGGGGGTTAGTTATAGACTTATGGCCGCAATCCTGGCGCAGTTGATCGAGGACACCACTTATACTACATGTTCGCATGTCAGAAGGCAAGCCTCGTATCGCTGGCCCTGCAACAGCTGGATAGTGTTCTGCTGCTCTTTAATCAATTCTTCCATCCGCGCCAGTTTCTGCGCCAAGTCCTGATGTAGGCAGGGTTGAGGTGGGGTCAGTAAACACATGTGGAACAATCTATGTGAAACCTAGCCTCTTGCTCCGTAGAAGGCTTGCTCGGAACACGGGTAAGCGTTGGGCTCGGAGTGGTGCGCCGGGGCTTCTCAGTAGGGCAACGAGTAGGCTTCACCAGAGCCTGCATCATCTTCGAGGTTTATAAGTCCGCAGAAAGACATGGCAAGCGTCTCGCGCTAGCTGGACTTGATGAAAAGTAGCTAGTTAGCTAGCTAGCTAGCTAGCTAAAATTATATGTCATATCAGCTTCATGTAAGCCAAACTCTTTTAGAAGCATCGCCGTTTAAGTTTAGCTAGATTATGTCTAGATCGAAGCAAAGCCCGGTGGAAGAATTGCGCTTGAGTCTGGATCTATTTACCCGCCGTCTAGCTAAACACAAAGACGTCACCCAGGTCATTCAGCGGCCTTTGCAGATCGCTCTGCCTCACTGTCGGAGGCCTGTTCCGTCTTGACATCATACTCCAAAGTCTTAGCCTTGCTGAGGGCGGATTGCAGCTCCTGCGTGCAAAGCCAGGGTGGGGAAGATTGGGAAATTCTTCAAGGTTACTTGCAAAAATGGCTAGAGAATGTATGCAGATTCTATAGTCCTGCTCCAAAATCTTCAGATCATCATCAGAAAAGCTACAATCCATGAGCGCTGTAAGACCAGCCACCAATGTAGCTGCTGAGTGAACGTCTCGTCGGAGGGTCATCTCGTTGAAGAAACCACTTTTCGCAGGCAAGTTGCGCAAGCAGACCTGAAGAAACGTCCAAAACGTGAATAAAATCGACCCAAAATCAGAACCAGGTGTTGCGCGCGGAAGATTGCATGTGGCTCAGGTAAGATTGCTTGTTGCGCGGGCAAAATTGGATGTTTCAAAACGCCTATTTTTAAGACATCGTACTTAAAACGCATTCGTACGAAAAATTTCTCGAAAGAATGCGCCCGAAATGCCCGAAATTCGAACCCTGAAGCCCGAAACGCCCGAAATTCGAACCCTGAAGCCCGAAATCTAGCCTTAAAGCCGTGAAATTCGAGCCCCGAAGCCCGAAACCTGAGCTTAATGCACCTATATATAGGAGCTGCAAAGCCCGAAATTTGAACTCCTAAGCCCGAAGTTGCAAACCCGAAGCCCGAAAACCTGACCTGCAATCCATTATGCAAGGCCAAGAACCCCGAAATCAGCCCCGAAATCAAATCAAGATGGAAATCCGAAACCTCAACCCACGAAAACCCGAAACTGAACCTTACTAAAAAGATGAACAATCGATCCATATCCTGCCGAAACACCAAAGCTGAATAATTTTTAAGAACGCAAGTATTGCATGCATGGGAATTATATATGCATGCAGGTTAAGTTGAATCCATGCATGCAATCCATGAAGACTCCAAGACCATGCAGTCCCAAAACTTTCATGGAATCCCAGCTAGACCCAATTAAGCTGAAGATTCGAATCCAATCTACATGAGATTGCGCCAGGTGGCTGCAAGAAGCGGTGAGGCAGACGATCAGGTCAGGCCAGGCAAGCTTAAAGGTCTCTAAGGGATCAAGAACACCTTCTCGGGCCTAAAGGAGCCTTGTAATTAGATGCTGTTCTGGGGGGCTTTGGGTGCTTACCTACTCGATGGTTGATATAGGGCTATAATTATACAACCCCCTAGCGCGGGACTTATCTTCATGCAGCAGGTAGATTTCCTCCGCCACAAGAAATGAAAGTGGACCTCTATGCAAGTACCGTGCAGTAGATGGGTGATCCAAAGGACGGGGCTTCTAGAGTTAAAATTAAAGATTGTATGCCATCTACTTCATCATTCCCAAGCTCCTAAGATTTATTTCGAGAAAAGAACAACCCTGCAGCACCCAAGTTGTACAAGCGATGCAATTCTTCGAAGCCACATTGTGCTGGCCAACGCTTCTAGTCTCTAGGCGCGCAAATGACCCCAAGGGCTTCTACGCAGGTTATATAGCGCATGTTTATTGAGGGTTTCAGGTTCATGCAGGGCTTTGGTTAATATAGAGTTCAAGGTTTTTATAGGGTTTAACATGACGCACACACACCCAAGTTGCAGAACCTGTGCAATATTGGCTCTATTGAACTTTCATGGACTTCTATGCCCGCACCATGTATGGACATCTTTCTGGGAAAAAACTGGACTTGACAAAACATATTTGACACCGCTGTACCTACCAAAAATTGGTAGGAAGTATACATTCCCCATGAAAAAACATCCCCGCCAAGCCCTGCGCAAGCCTGACCAGACCTGACATGAAGACCCTGATCGAACACCACACGGTAGCAAGACAACCCTTCAACCAGTGATAAAGCCATGTGTTGGTTTCCTCCAGGTAGCGCAAATCTCATTTACCCAGCATATGTCCAGGAGAGATGTGCATGCATGTGATTCCGCATGCGAGAAGCCACGCATGTATGTAAACTGATCTATGTATAATCGCAGCACTGGCAAACATACCGCGGCATGATACAAAGATCAGTTATTCGGGACCATGATGCTGATTTCAATGTTCCGTGCTGCACACACAGACACCTTGCAGGAGTCCATTAGACTACCGCACGCTTGAATTAGGAAAAGTGCTCGCTAGGGAAGCAACACTGCCACTTCGTAGGAATGTTCAGCCCTTTAGCGCCGTACAAATATCGTACAAGTTCCGGCACTCCAGCATCAGACCAAGAATCCTCCCCCGTTTGCATAGAGCATAATTGCTCAATGGTGCGATCCTCATCCTGCCAGGCTGCATTGTGCAACATGCACGGGGTGGAGTTGAAGGTCGGCAGGAGTTTTGCCATCTGCTCGCCAAACTCCCGGGTGTAGGTCCTGAGAAGGCCGCAATTCATAGCATATAGGGTGTGGGATGAATTCGCCCAATTTGGGTCTGCTAGACAAGGTTGATCAAGATACCTATCTGCATGTGGGCGACTAAGGGCCTGTCTGCGTTCCTTTTAAAGCCGCAGTTCCACTGTACTGTGGTTTGCCGGTAGACTTGTTGATGGTCTTCTTCACAGTGGCAACGTACCCATGCTTGTCTTGCTGCTTCTTCTTGAAGGCTGCTGTCAATGTCCCTTTATTGAACGAAAGCACGTGTGCATTGCTGCTCCAAACCACCGAGGGCTTAGGACAATGGTGGTTGTAATGCATCATCCAGAAATGGCAGACATAGACCTTCAGGGCTTCGCAAGGTAAGCTAGCAGCAGATACCTAGAATGGTGTTTTCGATTTGCAATTAGGGAAAGTACACAGACTTCTGTTCGGGGCATACACCCTTAGCCTGAGCTGCGTCTGGCCCGTATAAACCTTATATAGCTGTATATAGGGGTGAATTGGTACGCAGTAGCCTAGAACAAAAATTGTTGAACGCCCAGGAACCCTGTGCGTTTGGCAAAGCCATTGAAATCTAGGATGTTTCCATGCCAAACTCGATATTGGTTGCTCTAGCACCCAGCTGGCCCCGCAGGCCACACAGAGAAGGGAAACCAACACGCACCTGGGACCAAGCGAAGTTGAGAGTCCATTGGGTTATGGGGCTTCTACGGGCTCGAATTATGGGGGCATTATTAGACTATTACAGGGTTGAAAAGGCTTTGCGTCCAACATGCCTTGAGAGAATAGTATTTCCCAAAGCAACGCATCCAAGTGATTCCAGGCCTAGAGGGTGGAGCCAGGAACGCATTGTAGTGGCTCTTGATATGCTCACCCACGAAGAGCACAACATGCCCTGCCACAATGTAAATCCCTCTTCGGCACCATGAAGTACCGATACCAGATGAAGCCTCAAAGCAGATCACAAGACTTCGACCTCTACATACATGGCAACATTGAAGGAAATGCGCAGTTCTCAGGCCCCATCGCAAACCCCGAAGGTGTAGCAATATCCATGCCACGATGGTAGTTCAGATCCAGTTTGGCAGCTGGTGTGCGGCATTTGTCAACCACAGCTCTAGTCATAGCCCCTTGTCCAGCGAAGTGTTCAATGAAGGAGAATGCCTTTGCCACTCACTGCATGTAGTTCTTTCATCTACGTTAACACAATGTACTTCTGTCCTGCCTACTTGCACGTTGGGTTTTCCATGAACACGGCTGAAGTAGCATCACCGTAGAGGTAATATAGTATAGTGGTACAGTAGTATAGTAGTATATAGTAGTATAGCACTACATCAGTAGTCGTTGTGGTATTGGTGATAGTACTTGTATAGTAATTTAGTTCATAGGCGAAACTTGAAAAGTAGCTTTTTGGGGACATCCGTAGAATATGGGATTTTCAAGTATACGTGGACAGGCGAAGGAGGAGTAGTAGCAATGATAATATCATATTATGTAAGTAATATATAGTCTGGCTGTGGTGGTTGTGGTCGTGGTGGTGCTGGTGGTGATGGTGGCGGCGTTGTTGGTGGTGGTGCCCGGGGTGTTGGCTGTGGCGGTCGTGACGGCGGCTGGCGGTAGCGGTACTTGCGGTGGTGGAAACCCTGCATAGCCTGATCCACGTTGAACTTCTCGTTGAAGACAAGGCAAAGGATTGCTAAGATGAACATCTGCGCAGGAACCATCAGTTTGAAAGTTTCTTTTGGGGAAGGGGCTTTCAATAAAGGTGTTAGGGGATATGCTCGGGCAGCTAGGTGTTTGTGAACCATGATTCAAACCGCAGTCACTTAATCCGCTTTAAGTTTACCTGTGACCCATCGATCCAGAAACAGAAACCCGAGATTGCCAAAATTCCCCAAACACAAAAACCTGCAGAAACCACAACGTCGAAACCCGCACTAGTTCGCAGAAAAAGAGATTCGCAGCATTAAGTACCTATTGTGACTATACATATAGGTAACAATAAAAACCCCAGTGCAAAATCCTATCTGAAGTTTTGCCCAAAATCGTGGCCCAAAGAGATACCTCTGACCTCGAGAGTCCAGCCCTTTCACATTAAAGTTGGTAATGCACATGTGCCATACATTTAACCATTTCTGAAGGGTTTAGGGTTTATAGGGTTTATGACTATGGGGTTTATAGGGGGAATAACAAGGAGAGCTAAGCTAGCGAAAGCCTGGAAATGAATGTGTGCAATCACGTCCATACCGCAAAGTAAGAGCATACATCAAACATGATCGAAAGTTATGGACCCAACACCTCCGCGTTAAGAATGAATTGGGAATTCTTCTTTTGGAGAAAACCCTATATATCCTTTCCCCACCCAATGAGCCTTCGGGGCACCCAGCTTCATGAGGTTCATGACCGTCGCCGTATGGCGATTGGCCATGCTGGAGGCCAGTGTGCAGCAGCAAATCTATGCAACAACACCACTTGATGACGAGCTCTAAGCTTGAGGATGGCGATGATGGATCGCATGTTCACTCAGCATGTGTGTTCCATGAGGACATGACATCAGCAGACCTTCAAACGAGCCCAGCCTTTAGCACGCTGCACACATGCGACATGCTGCACTTGCTTGCACAGCTCTAGCAAACGAAGAGGTTGCGCAGGCATTGTATGCAAAAACCCCTGCCTGATTCAGATCCAGATTCATCGGAGAAGATGCCCAGAGAGGCTAGTGAAGCCATGACCTGTTCGCAGGGGAGAATATCAGCTAGGTACTTAAGCGGAATTTAGGCTGAGGCTGGGGAAGTGCAGAACGACAATCAACCAATGGCTCGCCCAATGGCGCTTTAGGAAATCACACGCAGGCTGCAACAAGGCTCTATCAAGATTGGAGAAAGTTTTCTCGCGTTTTGTCAGCAGCAGGAAAGCAAGAGATCGCTTGGAACGCTTCGGCAATTTCAGCCACACACTGAAAAGTATCCTCTTTTTGGCTCCCAGGCATGTCCCCGAAAACTAAACTTCCCGGATATGCGCCTTAAAAACCTTTTTCAGGAACATGCCCCTCGCAGAAGAGAGGATTCTCAAGGGTGGCTTGAGAACGACAACCCCATCATTCAAGAAGCACAGCTGGACACTCCAACTACAGCCTTTACCACGCGCCCTGGGCGCATGTTTTTAAAGACTTTCTCAGTGTCAGCATTCCTTGAACAGCCAGGCTTCAACTTGCTTCTTCGTGTACCGCTTGGAGCCATTGAAAAACTTCTCACCATCAGCGGTCCATGCCTTGCCTCAGTTTTTGCAAAATTGAAAAAGTCCAACGTGGAAAAAAACATGTAATGGAAAGCCAGTGCACTGCCTAAATGCTGCAAGTGCTACTAATGTCTTCGTCACGAAGAAACTCCCACGCACAATCAGCTGCCGCGTCCTCCCAATCCTCAGCGCCAATCTCTAGCTCTCGTTCTTGCACTTTCGTTCCAACATAGCGCCAGAACTGGTCCTGACAGATGGAGAACTCAATACATTATAAGTCGAATGTAATGGCTACTTTCTGCAGGTCCTCCATTTTGGAATGGTTGGTGATGAAGACGCGAATGCGATCCTGGTAGGCCTTCCTAATCCCCAGCCATTTCTTTTGAAAGTAGGGACGGCTCGGGAAATACCGACGTGCAAACGTGGCAGGACCTGTGTCTGCTGCGCCCTCTGGCTCACGCTCATCTCCGCCATTGTGATCAGCCTGCTCTTCTCCAGTGCCGTTGCCTCTCGTCTTGCCAGCCTTCTTGCTGGCGCTCTTCGGGGTCGGCTTGGAAACAATGGACTTGGACTTGGCCTTGGGAGCAGCCTTACTCTTGCCACTGGCTGCCTTGGCTTTGGCAGCAATCTTGGCAGGCGACTTCGCCCTCACCCGCTTTGCGGGAACTGCCTCATCTGCCCAATCATCCTCGGCCCACTCAGGCCAATCATCATCGGGCTTCTCAGCCACAGTTGACTCGGCCTTCACAGCTTTCCTGCGCTTCGCCATAGTCATCACGGACCTCTTGGACCGCTTCCTGCTGAAGCCTCGGACTGGGGGCTTCTTGGCCTTCACTTTTTTCCCACGCGTCGAGGGCTTACTCGGTTCCACATCTTCTTCGCCATCGTCATCATCATCAGCCTTCTGCTTGGATTTCCTGCTCTTCTTGTCGCTGGAAAGCTCAAGCTGCAGCCTCCGGGTGATGACGCGAGCAGCCTTATTGAAGGCAGTGAATGGAATCCAAATGAAACTAGCCCCAGCAGCAGCCAAAACACATGCAAACAAGCAACAGGCTTTTCATCGCACAAATCCAGGCTTTCATGCGAAGATTTCAGAATCGAGCTGGTCGGGGACCTTCCAATGGCTGACCACGGTTGCGTCTCCAACTCGTCAGGGGAACGTGAGGAGGCACCTGCCCAAACATTCTAACAAGACAGCTTCTTATGAAGGTAAACCCTCTTCAGAAAATTTTCTACGCCCATCGTGATATGGACTGGGTTGAAAACCGGAAACAAAAGCCCGTAACGAAATTTTTGAATAAAACAAGCTGGGTTTACAATATAGAATTCATGGAGCACCCGAGACGTGCATGCAGGTCTTAACAGTGTGTGTTCCAAAAACCTACGCAGGACCGTCAAGATCTAGATAAGTCAAATTCACGTAGGCAATCATCATGTAGCAAAGAGGAGGTCCTCAAAGTAGCGAAGGCATGAGCAGGCTCTCTAAGAGTGATGGGCCTCCACTTCTCATAGAACCTTCGGCGGTTGAGGCAAAAGAAAGCCTTCGCGGATCAATGTCCATCATCTTGCGATCGTCTTTGTCACGTGACTCTCCGCGGCGCTCACGTTTGGCATGCTCCCTGAGTACATCTAGGATTTGCACTGTAGAATGCTTGACCTGAATTTTGACAGTTGCACGTTAGCTGCACTAAGCGTGTGGCAGCCGCCGGGTCACATCTGTCAGCAGGCTTTGCAAGTTCTTGGAATCCATTTTTGAAAACCAATCGCCCAAGGTCGGTTCGGCATTCCGTTCCTGAGACCAAGTGGTTTTTCAAATGCAACCCAACATGCACCTACAAGCAGCTAGCTAGCACATGTGTGCAAATCAAGCAGCTGCTGTTGTAGGAGAAGGAACTTCAATCACATGCGCATTTGACTTGATGGGCGTGTGAAGCTCGTTGTCGGCATTGCCCTCCTTGAGCAAATCATTCGATCCGCCAGTTAGGGGTGGCACATCAGAGACCTGGGTTTCATCACCCTCACCTTGCTGGGAATCATTCGGGAAGACTGGTTGGGAGGCTATTTCTGCAGGAAGCACGGCCAGAGCCAGGCCTGCATCACTGACTGGATGCTCTTCGGCACTAGGCGGAGGAAGTCCGGTTGGTGATGGAAGCTGCTGTCTAAGCTGCATCAACTTCCGCCCCATTTTCTCCGGAGTGGTTTCCTCGCTGCTTGGAGCAGATGCTGCCGCAGCTTGCTCCAACCGCTCCTTCTTTTTCTCAGCTAAGAACTTCTTGAGAGCATGTTCCTCCAGAGGAAAACCTAGCTTTTCCTCAAGCCATTCCCTATTAGGTGGCCTGATCGGAGGCCCATTCAGAAACCCCGGCTCCTCAGCCGACATCTGATCACCAAAGTGATCGCTCAACTTCCTACCAAGTTCTTCGTCAGAGATCTCAGAATCCCCTGAACAGCTGGATGGCTGGGGCTCACCTTTTTTGTGCTTGTTGCGGCGTAGAACAGGCTTGCGTCCTTCCTAGCTAGGGCAAAGATCGAGGTGCAAACACAGGCACAAGATCAATTGACCACAAAAACCTCATAGGGATTGCTCTCATGTGCAAACTTTAGGGAAGTGAATATTTGCATGTGCTTCACACTTGGGAACACGCAGTGCTGAAACTTCTAAGACTCTTGGATGGCTTTCTTTGCCGCCTGCTGCATGTCTGTGACCATTTTCCGTACAAGCTCGTCCTTATTAGACCGGCAAGTGTCCTTGGAAAAAAAAGGTTTTGCATACATTGCTAGGCTTACAAAACTTGAACAGTTTAGTGTAAATCAAGGGGCCCTGGGCATTTCCCCTTTGGCCCACTTCCTCTTCAGCATGCTCAACATCCGCTTGATGAAGAAAGCTGATTGGTTTACCCTCTTGGTAAGTTTGACTTCACTCGCCGGCAATCTCCGTTGATCTTCAGGAAGCTGCTCGGTGTAAAACTGTCTCAAAGGAGGTTTCAGGAGTGGCAGGTTTTTGTAAATGAATCCGTACTTTGCCATGATCTTGCTAAAAGGCCTGAGAGCATCCAGATTGTACTTGATGTTCTTCAAGGTTGGCAGAACGTTCTTCTTGCCTCTGGTGTCCCTTACTAGTACCTCCAGATCTCGTGCCCGGTGCCGCAAATAAACGAAAGAATCCCAGGCTTGAACGCATTCCATGAAGTGGAAGGCTTCCATTGCAAGCCTATAGCAATCATAGCATGACCCTTGATCCCGAACTTCGACATATTCGAAAAATCCAGACAAATGCAAATTGAGAACTATCCTCAAATCTGGGCAGGTGGAGGGGCGCACCTGCTCTGGCGCCACGAGGATGCGATCATCATCGGAGCAAACCTGGTGGCGGATAAAAAGCACATGCAACACGAAAGCTGCAACACATAGTATGGTTCCCAATGAAATTGGTGGCTTGCATAAGAGATTTTCTCCTTTAACTGGTTCCGTAAATGCAGGAATGGCAGCATGATTTCTGCAATAAGCAGGCCAGGCACGCGTCTCAGGCAAAGCCACGATGAAGAACATGTAGCCAACATGGGCCAAGGGTGCTTTCAGCATGCTTTCAAAAAGCTTATAGGCGTTCTTGATAAGATGGTCCTTCAACGTGGTCCATACAAATGACATTTTGCTATCATGAAGCTCATAATGATGTTCCCTCACTCAGACAGCTTCATCACAGAAACCACTCCGTCTACTGCAGCATGGCACACTCAGGTAGCTTCAGGGCAAGATTGGCCGTTTGGGGCAAGATTGGCCGTTTGGGGCAAGATTGGTTGATCAGGTAAACACCCAATAAAAAATGGTCGTTGCACTTCACAGGTTGCTTTTATGCCAAGCATCTGAATCTGGGCATGAAGCTTGGCCTGATGCCTTGCGTCTGCAGCTGCATCGACATTTCAATGTATTGTACTTTGACCAGGGTACATGGTAATTTGCGCCAGCACAGGAATTATGCTGAGACAAACACATCAAACATACACGTGGCCTTTGCTGGCCCTAAGCGTGCTAACAGACTGAATGCAAACAATGTTTCAGCATGCTGTGTTTTTTGGATACGCAACCTCATGGCCACCATACAATATTTAGAGATGTCGCAACGTGTTGTGCACCTTGGTTGCGTGTGCCGAATGCCGTTTCACCATGAGCTGGGCGTCGTATGGCAAGTTCCGCGAAATTTTGCTGGAGCATGAAGAAAGTTCAGATGAAGACATGACGGATGGTCCCCGTACTGAGGAAGCAATGATGAAAGCCTTTGTTACACTGCACGAGCAGCGGCTGCAGGTGGATGGTAAGCTCAAGGGGTGTGAGTTCGCACATGTACTGTGCACTTTGAAGCCATGCTCCCGCATCGAAATTCAAAGTGAAGATCTGCCAACAAACGTTATCACGCAATATGATACAATTTGCACTCAGCTCATGGTGGTGGACAGAACAAGAGATGAAAAAGACATCACCTTTGTTGGTCATGCGCTGGAAGTGTCACGATGCCGACTTGTCGCGTCCAGGCTTGCGTATCTTCTGAAGTCATACGGCCTAGCACGACAGCGCTCTTCACAAGCAATATGGGCATGCGAAGCTGTGTTGAACAAATCCATTTCACCGCTGCAGCACAGTGCCTTGCAACTCCTTCGTGAAACACTGGTGGATTCTCTGGTGGTTCGCTCCATGGCATCCTTGCAGCAAGGCAACTTTCTGGCAGCCCAAGAGGATGCCATGCTAGCACGTTCGAAGTCCAGATGTTGGCGGCTGCATGCTCATGAAGAAGAAACTTTGGCGTTAGCGATCCGCTGCGAAATGGCCTTGCATGCTGGTGGTCCAGGAAACGATGGTCACGGTTGTCGCATGGCACCCGAAGCTGCTTGCGCGATACAGCTAGACCACTTGACCGACTCATGCGCGGCCTTCACTACCAGCCCTGTGGGGACAGCTGACCTGGCCGACCCTCACATGAGGCTGGCCTCCTCTCCTGATACATTTGTATTGCACGCGATGGATTAGCAAGGGCTTCTCTACTGTCGACTTGTCTGGGGTTGTGACTGGCCGTGTAAAAAAGCACTCACGCGCTTCACCAGGAGGCCGCCTGCTACAGCATTGATGCAGAAGGGTTAGGGTCATGGCATTTGAGGTCAGGCTCCCAATGACCAACATCATCAAACTTCAAGGTCCATACCCGCGACCACCAGGCAAACTACTTGGCCACTTGGTGCCCCTATATAGGCAGCATGGTATGTTAAGGATCCCAGAAGGCACGGCAGGATGAGGTGAGAGCGTGCTCTGGAGATCCCGCAAAGGGCTTTGCTGGGCACATTGTAATGCTTGCGCAGCTGCTGTGAGACCGGTCGTGGTGTCATACAGACAAGTGCATTGTGAGCATTGAAAATGTTGTGTTTGACAGTTGGTCAGTTATTAGGATCATTGCAGTTTCGTTTTAAGTTTCTGGAAACTTGTCGTCTAGCTGTCTGGCACGAGGCTTTGTTCTCCACAGGCAGGACAGGCACACCTTGCAGATCCTTGCAGCCATGGCGAACGTCCCAGCATGTCCCAGCATCCTTGTTTGGGGAGTGCTTGTGGTCTATGTGGACATTGTGGCGCTACGAAGGAACATCGTGTAAACCCCCCAAGACTACCCAAGCTCATCATGCCAGAACCGAAATGGCATAAGAACATGGGCAACTACTTGCATGCTTCGGAAGATTGCAACCGCGGTGTTCTTCTGTTGAAGCGCGTGCGCGTGTCTGAAGCGTCCATCTGAACATGTACTAGTAGCGAATTTTGGCACCTGTGGCTCACTCGCCCGGCATGGGCAGCATATCATGTTATCTTCAGCAGTATTTGACTCTGTGGTGTGTTCACTCTGAAGACCAATGATCGGGTCACTGCGGGCAGTTTGATCCGAACTGCTTTCAACCTTGTTGTCATTTATCACGTTACGCATGTCCCTGGCTGAAATGCGGCCATTTGCGAGTGCTGTTCTCAGCTATCACTATGTACTACATGGTATCGTGAGGCAGGCCCATAATGGGCCTGTATGTGACACTTTGTACTCAGGACATGGCTCCTCGCTGTGTCCTACCTCGCCCGAAGCTAGATGTGCAGCAAAAGTCCACCTGCACACCGGCAAGTATAAGTGTGAAGTCTGAATGACGGCGTGCCCGCGAGGTTTGCAAATCCAACTACTGCGAGCTATGGTGGCCTGATGAGTACCAGACTGAGTTGTGGCGGCTGCACACATGAACATGAAGGACATTACTGCTCACTGTGCCAGGCCAGGGATATGTGCCCCCAGGGCAATTCGAGGCAGCTCGGCTGGGAAGAAATTCTCGACAACTGTCCTTGGTTTTCAGGATCTCTTGAACCTGATTCGCCAAGCCTCAGCTCGCACCCTGGGACTGGAATTTGCACATGTGCGCACCGTGCAGAGAAGCGCAGGACGCATGGGAACATGGCCAGGCAGCATCCGAGCGCGCAATGAACGCGGCAAAATATGCTGAGATGGCAGCATCTGCGGCCCATGGCTTGGCAGCGTTTCCAATTGGATCTTTTTACATTCGATGTCACCAGTGCCGATGCATACCTGAGGCTGGAGCTGCTGGACAACAAGCTGTGGTGTTGTGCTCACATCCAGAGCACTTGCTTTCAACCACGCACCAATACTGAATCCACACCATCCGAACGCCGTTCATGCAACATGGGCATTGTAGGATGAAATTTGTGCTGTGCATGGAGGACACCCTCACGTCAATCGCATCATGTCAGTCATGTTATTTCTTGGTTTGCTCAGGTTCGTGCGATGCACATGGCGAACGCCCCGGGTGCGCCCACGGCGGCACCCTTCTCTCCAGGAGCTCCAGATCCCGGAGTAGGCCTGCTGTGGGATATTGTGGGATGTCTGGAATCTGCAATGATTCCTTTGCAACGCGAGCTGCCGCGGCGGCGACTGGCATTTTTTCTTTGGGGTTCACTCACTGTAACTGCTTCATGACCACACCTGGGCTTCAGGGAAACGATGGCAAGGTGAATGACCTGTCACGCAGGTAGGAGGTACCAGTAGCAGTCCGCAACACAATGCAGTTGAAGCTCGCACCATGCAGCATTTGATTGCGACATGGGTGAAAAGCAAGTCTTAGTAGCCGGGCAGCTATGGATGTGGATTCGGGTGCAGAGGCACCTGTTGACGACGTGCCGCCTCCGCCTCCACCCCCGGCTGGTCCAAGCGCAAGGCGGGCCAGAGTTCAGCTTCCCGAACACGATCATGACGATGGCCCTACATACTATCGCCTGGGCATTGATTACCCTATCGACGCCAATGACGACGAGGTGTTGCAGCAGTGTGCGCGCATCAAGCTGCCTGGCCGTCGGTTTGGGAATTGCAGGAGGAAGAATAGGCTCACATAGCCTTGGGCCTTGCACAAAAGCACAGACCCAGGAAGCTGGAAAACTTGGAAATCGTGGGTGCGTGACACAGCTGCAAATGGCCAGCATAATGTGAACCGCCCCCAACATGAGTAGTGCTCAACGTCGTGGGATTTGGGCCTGGGCTAGTGGCAACCTCCAACTGTTGTTTCGAGAATTTGTTCCGAAAGCATTGCAAAGGGGTTTCCCGTGGACGGCGTTGGTGATGTGGCATGCTTTCGAGAGATTCTCAATGGAAGGTCATCAGAGGGGTATTGTAGCACAAGGTTCTGGGCTTGCTATTCTCTATGGATGGTCCTCAAATTCGTATGCTGGTATGAGAGGAAGGCGTATAAACCGAGACCCTATCAAAAATATTGAAAAATTGGAAATCCAGGAATTCAGGATTTCCGTATCATTTCCAAGAAACGATTCAACGCAATTCATATAGACCAAGTTCCAATCGAAATCCGGAAATATGAGAATCCGGGATCTCGAATTATTTCTGATTGTATTTCCATAAAGGTTAGTCGGAAACGCGTCGAAACCCATATTTCTGCACATCTGAAAATCAAAATCGATGATCCCTTTCTGATTTTCTGCTCATTTCCAACGAGAGAAAGCAGATTGCCATCGGCATCAACCTGTTCGCTATGGCGACACCGTGGCGGTTTTGAGATAGCTTGTGTTGGTGGTTGTGGTTCTCCCGGAGCATGTTCCTGTGGTGAATTCAGTGCTTGCACCGCGAAAAATCCCTGACGCAGTGATCGTCAGAATCTCCAATTCATCAAGCTTCAGATTGCAGATGCCCATGTTGCTCTCGTCCTTGTAAGGAAGCTGCGAAAGCTGTGCTGCTTGCTGGCAGTTCAGCACTTTATCAGAGTCAGAGCTACAGGGCTGTAAGCAATGCTATCATTGGAATGCGCAAGTTACATGGAAGCATGGGCACACGTAGACCATGACTCACCCTGCCACGCAAGATGAAAGGCTTGGTGGCCAACTGTGTCGAGAAGATTGAGAACCTGGAGAGCAACACAAACTTGGAACATTTGGAGTCGCTTAGGGGCAGTTGGTTGTATTGCTGTTTCACAGAGCACACAGTATGCAAATTAGATGGTGTACACCTTGCCAGGCTCTACCAGAACATGGTCAAGAAAATCGAGAACATCAGCCATTTGCACAACCTCACCGTATTGGATTTGTCTTTCAACAAAATTCGGAGTACTGAGCCATTGGCATCATGCCCTTTTGAGCATTTAGAGAAGTTGTACCTGTCAAGCAACAAGATCACGGACGTGGAAGGTCTATTTCATTTCTCTCGGCTGACAATGCTGGAGTTGGGATCGAACAGGATCAGAAGCATACCCACGCAGATATCTGCATTGGTGAATTTGCAAGAACTTTGGCTAGGAAAGAACAAGATTGCCGACATGTCCCTGCCGCCGCTACCTGCCCTGCGGCACTTGAGCTTGCAGAACAATCGCTTAGAAAGTTGGAACGCAACTTTCTTCCAAAACCTTGCAGGTTTGACCCATCTCTACTTGGGTCACAACAATCTCCCTGATCTTCCCGAGGAGTTCACATTGCTGATCAACCTAGTTGAGGTTGACCTTGTCAGGAACGCCATTACTAAAATCAAGCCAATGCCAGAGCTGCAGAAGCTGGAAGAGCTGTGGTTGAATGACAACAAGATCGAGGATTTAGCGCAGACTGCTCACCTGGCTTCATTTCCCTCCTTGAAAACAATATACCTAGAGCGCAATCCTATGCAAGATTTAGGTAACAAGGAGGCAGAGGAGAGATACCGCGACGCAATTCTGCAGGCAGTTCCCTACATTCAGCAGCTTGATGCTGAGAGGTTGAACCTTGAACTCAAGGTCATTAGTGATGGTACCGAGCGCCACGTCATGGGCATTCGACGAGCTTAGGGTGGCGGGACGGTGCACAGCAAAAATGCTGTCCTTGTTCTGATACAGTGATCAAGTGTTACAGTCGAAGAGCAGGACCCAGTCTGCAACGTGCAAGAAAAAGGTTGATGTTTCATGCTGAATTCTTCCTATCCCATGCAATCGCGCCGGGTGCAAAATTTGTTGCAGCCTTGTCCCCTTCAAATGCCGCAGGGCGACTCTCGGGATTAGCTAGAACTAGCTCGCGCAGCCATGCCACGCAGTTATGCAGTCCTTGAAGGCTCTTGCCCAGTCCACCTTGGGCGAAATCAAGGACGCATTGGTTGAAGCAGTAGGAGATGACGAAGATGAGGAAGAGGGGCGGGAAAGCAATGTATCAGACCGGCTTGTGACTCCCAGCCCCACCGATTATGGCGGCCATGTTGATTGTGATAGGCAATTTGCCGCGAAAGCAGGTGGAGAATTATCGACACTGCCCAAATCACCATGCTTGTCAGAGGATTCTGAAATGGATCCATGCCAACACGAACAGCATGAAGCACATAAGGAATATGCCGCGTTGTGCCAACTACCAGGTTTGGAAGCAACTTTGCAAAGTTTGGGTGTCGAAGCAAATGCTTTCTCATGCAGCACGCAGCCGTCGGCAGCACGAATGGCAATCACATGTTGCCGAGTCTTAAGGCAGGCATTGCCCCAGGTCATGCATGAGGCGGGTGAGCCTAGTGAGACAAGACGACTCTTGACATCCTTCAGTGAGCGCTATGAGCAGTTGCTTGAGGAACATATGGGACTGCAGCGCAAGTGCCGAGATTTGACTTCAAAGAACGTGAAGTTTGAAGCCTTAGCCCAGCAGGCAGAGGCCTGGCAGAGCGCCCATCAAGCAGCCATCGCCAGGATCGAGGAGCTCTCTTCGGAAAATGCAGACCTGAAGGAGCAGGCAAAGTTGCTCAAGCAGCAAGGGATAGACCCAAAGGAGCGCTTGCATCTGCAGCAGCGGCTCATACAGAAAGATGCAGAACTCCAGGCTTCCATGCATGCCATGCGCAAATTGGAGGAGGTCATGGAGGAACAGAATGCATTGGTCGAGCAGAATGCCAGTTTGAAACGGGAGCTGCGTGAGCTGCTCACCAGAGCAGAGGAAGCTCGAGAATCACCCAAGGTAACCTCCGTAGCGCCTGAAACGAATAATAATTTCAACCAGCTCTCAGACCTTTCTGCCAGATGCCATGCAGCAGAGACCGAGCTTAAAGAGACGTCTGCAGCCTTGGAGTTCTTGCTGAGGGAGAAAGGGCGCAGGTTGGAGGACGAAGAGTTTCTAGTAGATCGCAGGCTTGTTGCCTCCATGCTTTCATTATATCACGAGCACCTGGCGTCTGGGCAGCGAGCCCTGGCTGAGCAGATTCTGGCGCAAGCACTGTCCATCCTCGGGGTGCCAAAGGAAGCTCAGAGGAGCCAAAGATCAGCAGCTCAAGCTCGCTTAGCTGAACCACTTGGAGATGCATTCCTAGATTTCCTGGAAAAGGAAGCCACAGAGTCTGGGACGGCAATTCATGCAGCAGGCGAGCAGACCTTGACAGGATCTACTCTCCTCCAGCCTGTTACGGAGACAAAGCATTCATCTTGATCTGGCTGCCAAAAAGCAGGAGAGTGAGCCAAAGGGAGAGGTACAAGTAGCCAGCCTGTTAAACTTGGTCGCTGTTTGCAAGGCACTGAAACTGGATTGAGCGTTTGCCGTGTTGTGTCACACAACCTCAGCAAGTTTGCCTGCGTGGTTTGCATGTCGACGGCGTCCACTTTGCAGATGATACTGGTAGCACAGGAGGTCTTGAGATGATGAATCTGACCTATCAGGTTCAATGAAACCTAGGCCCTAGGCGTACGTTCAGAGCAACCAGCATGTGGCTCACGAGCCAATGTCCTGAACTATCTTGAACTTGTGCAGGGATTGGGGTTGCAAACATGCCTCCAGATGCCTGTGCTGCGCTTACAAGTGATCCTTTGTTGTCAGCTTTTCTGCCCAGATGCTTGGCTAAGGCTTGCTCTGCAGCTTGCTTCCAGGCCGCGGTGACCAGAGCAACAATGCTTTGCCATGTACGTATTCCTGAGTGTTTCTGGTCCGAGGCCTGCAGCGGCCCAGCAATCCGGACTGCAAGAGGTGTGCTTTGCGAGCCAACTGCGCGATGGCCAAAGGGTAGCATTGACAGAAGGTGCAAGCGCAATGACGAATTTCTGTTCGCACCTCCCGGAGTCTGACCATCATGCTTCTAGGCTTGCTACGTGCCTGTGCATGCGATATATGGGATGTGACCATTGTGAACTTGAGTAAAGGTGGCTTGACCACGCGTGACTCGTGAGCTCTTGGCAGGCCAGGCCAGCTTGAGCTGAGTTTAGTCACTGTGCTGAAGGAGAGGCAGTGCAAATGCAAGTAGCACCGAGCGCTGAACCGCATGCGCTCGAACAAAAGATCGTCTAGGGAGCCTAGGGGTGTTGCACGGAGTTGAGTACGACGCATCTCCGCATGACGCATGCTGCTTGGCTCCAAAATGTGTCTACATCTGCCGACCTCTGTGTGCCGTTGCATGTTAGATGAAGTCCCCACAATGATGAAGGCCCCCAATGCGGGTACATGGCATTTTGTGCTCCGTCAGTCAAGAACAAGCATCTTGCAGTGCAAGTCTTGACACATGCGGAAGAGAGAAAACGGTCAGTGCATGACAAAGACACATGCAGATGGTTCCTTTCCCCTGGCAGCGGATCAGGAGGCACAGTCAAGCGCTGCGCTTGCTGGACTTTGGTGTCGCACCGTGTCATGGTGTCATGACCTTTTGCAGGTACCACAGTCTCGAAAGGAGCTATGCAGTCCCGGGCTTGTTCTGTTCGCATCACATAGATTTCAACTCGCACATAGGCTCTTTATCCGAAAGGCCATCCTGATACTTCTTGTGTTTGTCTCAACACAAGCCCGAAGCCAAGCTGCTTCCGATTGCAAGTCTTCTCCCAGGTGTGGAGCTGACTTTCCTCTGCGCCAGGTTGCCTTAACCCCCTTGATGCCTTCTGATCGAGCCAGCAAGGTGGGGACCGACTCTGTCTCCCATATTTATTCTCTTGTGATCTCTTGTGCTTCACGTTGAATTTGTGTTCACAAGGCAATGCGTGCGAGAGCCCGCTGCAACCCGCCAAAAGTGGCTTGCCACGGCCTTACATAGGCAATCTTTGTACTTCTTCGCCAGAGCGTCGAGTTTTGTGTTCTGATTTGCTCGGATTGATTACCCAATGTGCTTGCCGGGATGGGTTGTTATGCTGTTATGCAGACCCTCGCGGAAAAGTTGCAGGAATTTAGTGTGCCTCTGAGTCAAAGCACCTGTCAGAGCAGATTGGCGCCGGCACGGGTATTTGCGGCCTCAGAGGATAGTCCGCAGGTCGCTGCCCCAAAGCAATATTCGAAACATGAAATTGCTGGGCCCCTTACAATCGCGCTTTGCGGCAACAGAAAGCCTTCAGCGGCTAGCAAAGCCAATGAGACTCGTCACGAATGGGAGGTGAGCATGGGTGGTGCATTGTTCAGTGAGCCTCAAACTTTCATCCTCTTGTGCGGGGGACGATGTATTCCTTGGGAATACTGCATGGCCTTGGACATGATGTGCAGGTTGCATATGGAGCCATCAACTTTTTGCTTTGCCAGGCCGCGCCAGCACCCCGGACCTGCAAATGCTGGCATCTGCGTGGGAAGGACGCCGGCCATTCTGAAGTAAGAATTCCTCGTTCATCCAATTCTGAGGGGTTGCTCACAGCGCCAGTGTCTGTAAATCTTTTAACATCTTTTAACTTCATGTCGTTTCGAGAGCTTCCTTGCATGGCGCCTGCCATGCCTGCCTCGACCGCTGAGCCAGCCCGGAGCACCGCGAGTGTGCCATCTGTCTCTGCCTCTGTGTGTCTTGGAGGGGCCCCCTGATGGGCTGATGGCTAGGCTGCATATGGCTGCGTGGTCAGGAGCCACCCAATCTCTTTGGAGGGCGATGGGGGAGCTGCGTTGTTAATGCACCGGAGCAGATGCCCGTACAGCCGAGCTTTTCTTTCAACATTTTTTCTCGTTTTCTCTCTTGCCTCTCCCAGGTTTCAGGGATTTGGGTGCCTCTTCAAGGGATGCACCTTCCAAGTCCCATCACTCACTGGGTGCATGTCCTCGATCTTGTTTCAGGGTGTCGCATATCTGCGGTGTTCGCTTGCCACATCAGAAAGGCACATGGTACGAGCGACCTGATCCTGCAATCATCTGCCCCATACGGATGAACCTACACCCGGCATGGCTGACCGCAACAACTTCGCCGCAACTTGCACGCGACAATTCTTGCCATCTTCCATGCAGGATATGAGAGCCTCCTGGACTCGCAGGGCCTTGCTACTGCCTCTCTCCTCAGTGGCTGCATCATCGGCAAAAGCTCGTGTTTATCAGCAGCAGTATGTTCCGCTGCAAGGATGTTGCTACAGCCGCCCTGCTGAACTCTGCGTCTGACGTGGTTGCACAGGTGTCCGAAATGCAAAGGCAGAAGGCGGACTCATAGAGAGTGATTCATAAAGAGATGCAGCATGCAGCCCCTGTTCCTGCCAGCAGGGTCAAGTGCTACGTGCGGAAAGAGCTCTCAGATATGCCACGTTTGGATCGCTTGATGGCTGCGCAGGCGGTTGGCTAAATCAAGGGGATTTAGCATGCCTTGGCAACTTCAAATTGGTTTCATCCCTATTTATGCCCCAAGTTCAAATACTACTCTTAAATTTGGCCGCATCCAGGGGCCTAGCAATCCTGAAGAGCCTTGTTACTCTTCAAACGGCCAAAATGGATCCCGCTAAACTGATAATTAATGAGTTAGGAGTAGTTGGAGGTCATAAGGGGGGTTAGAACAAATCAAAGAGGATATATGATATAGGGATCTCCGTGGTATTCTAGGTGTCTAGTCATTGACATGATTTTACGAAGGAGCATGTATATATATATATATACATTGCCACCCCCATCAGAATCTACATTTTGCTTTTATCTAAAAGCATGGCCTGCGCGGTGGAAAAAGATCATTTTTTGCCGTAGCCACGCAAATCTGGAATTCTGCATTCTGGGATTATAGTAGTCTGCGAAAAGTACATGTTTTTGTTGGAAATCAAGCGGGGTCTTGGCTCCAAGAGAAAGTTGAATACAGAAGGGGGCTCTTGAGCCCAGGTTTGCGTTGCTGTTCGCTTCAAGACATCTTAAATGACAATCCACCTTCATTACCTGAAAGGCCTCCCTTGACTTTCATGCACATGAAAACCTAACATGTCTAAAGTCTACAGAAGTCATCCGAAGCCCAAACCAAAACAGTTTCTGCGAAGTCTGAATAGTCTCTATAAATTTGCTCTGCAAACTAGTACTGACCTAACAATAATCTTAGTATAGCCCCAAAGCATACCACTTGCAGCCTCAATAGGGCTTCCAGATAGTCAGCCAGTTCATAAATGAATGTCATTGCTAATGCCGTCCCTACGCCGTTCCTATATAATGCAGCCCAGATAAAATCGGAGCTTGAATTCTCATAACATCCTACCTACATCATATGTGCCGATCCCGTGTAATTAACTTATGAAACAGGGATCTGCATAGATTTGTTCTATAAACCAGTCATCATGCGTAGACAAACCCTTTAAAAGCGTGAACAACCTTTTGCAAATCCAAAACTACCGCAGTTGTTTCTCATATGAATTCGATGAAACGCGCAAGCCGTGTCATTTTATGAGAAACACACCATACATGGTAATTATTCGGAAAGCTTGCCAGAGGGCCTTATAGTTCTAGTTTATAGCGGGAAATAAAGTGTTTGGTAAGATTCCTTAAATTTAGCAAAAGTTCCTAAGCAGAATTTTCAATGAGAAATTCTCCTACATCACATCTCGAGGACAGTACTACACTTCTATTACGCCAGACTGCACCAGGATGCACCGGGGTTGTTAGCAGCTGTTTGTGAACACGTTCAAGTAGATCAGGGATCTCCTGAGGTGTTTTCGTAGAAGCCTTCCAAAGACACACATCAGAAGTCCTCATTAAGATCTTTAGCTGGTGATCCTCATGAGGAGCGCATCACACATTCTTCAGTCTCAATCCTTGCTTGTTGGAAGTCTTGATAAAATTAGATCTTTGATGAATATTCATGTTGTGCTCTCAATAAAAACCTTGTTCAAAAACGTTGGCACAGGTCCGTCTTGCAGTCTGACAATCAAGTTTATCAGGAATCCATATTGGGAAGCTCCATATGGGGTCCATATTTAGTCTGCGGTGCCAATTTACCATTGCATTTCAATCCTGTATCAGAATTCATCAAAATTCCTCATAGGAGCCCTACTTTTACCGAGAGTACCTTTTAGTTAAATTCATAGGAATCTTGGCTGATGAGCTTTACTGAGGCTTCTGAATGGTGGACGGTCCAAGTTACATCTGAAGTGCTAATCACAAGAAGCCTTATCAAAGATTCTGGTTAGGAGTCAAATCTAAGGTCTTAGTAATCGATTGATTGGGAACCCTGGTTAAGGAGTCTGCATGACGCTGCGTACAAGGACATCTGACTAGTAATCGTTATGTGAGCACGGGTTTATATGAGGGCATTTAAGTCGTTATGCTTGTTGGGGAGCTTCCTTGAAGGTCCTCATAAAAGATACCTGTCTGGAATCAGCAGTAGCGTCCTTTTGGGAATGTCTACTAAGATGAAGCTTATGATGGATCTTTGCAAGTAGTACCTGAGACAGAGAGGGCCAACATATGAAACATGTAGATTCTCTGGAGAGTAAGCAAACTAGACATGTCGGCTTGGGGTGGTAACTGCCAAACAAAGGTCAGGTTTTGGGGATGAGATTCATCCCAACGAAATACCTGAGACAGGGAGGGCTAGTCAACATGTAGGTTTTTTAACGGGGACCATATATATATATACACTCCTTCCTAATATTTAAGGGCTGCCGCCGC